AAACCACATAACATTGCATTTTCAGCATACACTCTGTGACCTGCTAAACTTTTGACGTGCTAATCTCTGCTTTTTCTTGGCAGACATCTTGAGATAAGCAACACATGAATGATCAAAGAAATGATTTCAATAAATGTGCAAGGATACAATGTTTTTCATCTTAAAGTAACAATGGCTTTTACCTGATGCCTCATACATGAATACTTGTTCATTTTGCAGGGGCAATGTTTTTTTAGATTACTTGTGAAAGCAGACGCAAATTGTTGAGCATGATGATTTTACTTGAGAGTTTGGTGTGTATATTTGAAAGTCACTGCAGATATTAGATGTTCGGATATGAGTTTACCGTCCTGTGTGTTGAAATTCATCCCCAATGGTCCCTAATTTATAGGAGCGAAAAATCTAGATTTTTCCATTAGAATGTAAAAAGCCACATCGTTGCATGTCAGCATGTGCATACTTCATTTTCTTATTTTATGATTTCCCAGGTGTGTAAACTAACTTTAATTTGTAATTTGTAATAAAGAGTGTACTTCATTGGGTTAGTAATTTAATTTTATGCATCGACTAATGTGATGCAGATTATTTCAATCATTAATCTGAATACTCCGTATTAAAGGCTTTGTCCTCTTGAGTATTTATTGCTTTGTCCCTTTTTGAAAAGTTCAAGGGCCAACTTCATGATTAAATTTTTATTCAATTTTTTTTTTTTGCATTCATAAGTTTTCATATTTACTCTCATGTGCAAGACACGTTTTTCCCGCCCAAATTCCCTCCCCACTTTTCTGTTTTTATATAGATATAGATTATTTATAATATAAAAATTATATAAAAATGATCCTTGTTGAAAGTACTTTCATAAAAATATAAAATTTATAACTTGTATAATATTATACTAATCAAAATTATGGTTCAATTTTTTTTGAAATGATTGAGAATACAATCAAGAACTCTATCAAACACAACTCTCTAATATGGTAAATTCACATGCACTCGAGCAATAGCATGAGCCACGCAATTTGCAGATCTTCTACAATAAGAAATAGAAATATTTCTTTTTTGGGAAATAACAAGTCTAATATCATCTAGAATTAACTGATTATAGGAGAGCCCCCCCCCCCCTATTGTTTCAATCCCTAAACCACTGTAAGTGCATCAGACTCTATTTCCACCTCCTGCCACCTTTCCTCTACTGCCCAACGAACATAATCTCTCAGCCCCAATGCCTCAGTTTCCTCCACCGTCCAATCCGTCCTATGTGAAACTCCACAAGCTTTTATAAATTCACCATCTGCATCTCTAGCGATCAAACCCCAAGTTCTAATGCCACTTGTTGAGTCCACTGCCCCATCTACATTAATTTTAACACAACCCGGCTTCGGCCTACTCCACTTGGTCGCTGCTGCAGCACTCGGCCGACCACCTGCAGACCGCCGCGTGTCACTATGCGCGTCCTTTCAGGCTGCCGGCAGGGCAACCGCTACATTTAGTACTTCAGGCGCATCTTGTTTCGTATCTTTCCATACTCCATTATTTCTCCGCTTCCATAAGCTCCATAGAAGAGCTATAAACCTACACTTTGCTTCCATGTCCGCAATTGAGGCATATTTTTTAACCCAACCCGCGGCTGTTAACTGGTCCTCCTCCGTTCTCACCCCTGCCTGCCACCACACCTCGCTCCCGGGCAGTCCCGAAAAGCATGAGCCATGGATTCCCCTTCACTTCTACACACCACACAACCTCCCTGAATAACCACTCCCTTTCTCCTCAAGTTGTCCACTGTTGGAATAGAACCGTCAATAACCTGCCAGATAAAATATTTGAACTTCGGAGGTATCTGTGCCTCTCACACCCGACGCCATCCCTCCAAAGCATCTGCCTGAAGGTCACCCATACATGCTTTATAACAACTTTTGACTGAAACCTCGCCCTTTCTTTCCCCAACCCACCAAAAATCATCTTCTCTGTTCTGCCAGCTGATCACTATACTCGTAATTTTCTTCTTGTCCTCCTCATTGAAAATATTATTTATTCTCTCCTTATTCCACTCCTTGCCCGTATAATTACGTAAGGCTGCAACATACTTGAACATTTATACCATTCCCCACTCTCTTCCTTATATTATTTTTTAAAATATTTTGAGTCTAAAAAATACTCCGCCAAACAAATGATGGATTATTCCCCACCCTAGCCTCCAAAAAACTAGTATTTGGGAAATATCTGGCCTTCAGAACACGACTCATTAAGCTCTGCGTTTTGGTCAGGAGTCTCCATCCTTGCTTAGCCAGCATAGCAAGATTAAATTCTCGAATCCGCGGGAATCCCAGACCCCCTGCATTTTTCGGTTTACACATGTGCTCCCACTTCCTCCACCTTAAACCTCATTGTTCAAAATTTGCTCCCTTCCACCAAAAGTCATTCATTAATTTTTCAATCTCGTCACATAATTCTATGGGAAGGAGAAAAACATTCATAGCAAAATTCGGCATGGCTTGTACCACATTCTTCAGCAGAACTGCACGTCCGGCCCATGATAAGAACCGGTTGTTCCAACCTTTTATTCTATTAAATATCCGTTCACGCAGATAACCCAGAATTTCTGCTTTATTCTTCCCCACGAGAGAAAGAAGACCCAGGTACAAGTTCTAACCTCTTTCCCTCGATATCCCCAAAAGCTGGCTACATTGGTCTCGGAACACTTCATCCACATTTGGGCTAAAATTTAAAGAGGACTTATTATAATTCATCATCTGCCCAAAGTAAGCCTCATAATTCTCCATGATTTTCTTCATAGCATCACAGCCCCCCTGCGTTGCTTTAAAAAACATAAAACAATCGTCAGCAAAAAGTAGGTGTGACACCCTCGGTGCGTTCTTACACACCGAGATGCCATGCACCACCCCCAGTTGTTCGGCCCTCCTTATCATTGCACTCAGACCCTCCGTAATTAGAATAAATAGATAAGGAGATAAAGGACCCCCTTGTCTCAGACCCCGACTTGGAATTATAGGCTCCAATAAATCTTTATCAAATTGAATAAAGTAGCTGACACACGAAAATGATGCATGCGTCGTTCATATCGCATGGGCTTATACCATTTGGAGAGTGTTACTAATAGAGGGTGGATTGACTCTCAACACGCATGCATCATGAGATAAACATTAGGAATGTACGTAGCCAATCGGATTAGGCCAACTAAAACGGAAATTCAGCAACGACTAAACAACTTAAAACCCTCTACTTATAATTATAAATACCCCTCCATCCAGGGACGTAACTAGGAGTAAGAGTTGGGTTGGATCGATACAATGAACTTTTACAGATAAGTTTTTACACAAAATTTTTACATTAAAAAAATATAAGCAATTTTAAAATTTGGCCTGGGCCGTGGCCCGGTTGGCCCTCAGCCCTTGCCTCCATCGAAGAGCTTCTTCCACACCCAGAAAACGAGCAATACACACATATACACATACGAAAAATCAGCCCTTCGCCACACCCAAAAACCCATAGCTATAAACACTTCCAAATCCTTCCATTTTAAAACTTCCATTGTATTTCTTCAACCATATTGTGAATGAATAAAAATTTATTCCCAATATATCAATATTTTGGGTGGGGAATTGGGGGTGTTACAATTTGGCGCAGTTATCTTCAAAAATATTATTTGACTGTCTTCATAATTGAATTTTTATCTGAATTTTTTTTGTGGACAAACTAGACTCGATGAGGATTATGTTCAAAAAATTTCATCAAGAAATTCCACTGGAAACCGTCCCAAACAGCAGCAGTCGGATCATCCTGTCCCTCTGGCTGAACAAAATCATTCCTCTGTGTGTGTGTGTATAAAGTAATGATCACCTCAGGTAGTTCTAACGGGAAGCCCGTCTGAACTTGCCCATCATAGGGCCTTTCCGATGGAATGTTTTGATGAATTTTTTTTAGCATGTTCTTCATTGAATCTAGTTTATACCCACCAAATTTCAACTAAAAATTCAATCGGGAAGGCAGTCGAATAAATTATTTAAGATGACTGCGCAGTTAATATATATAAACAATGCATGAACTAGACTTCATGAAGAATATGCTCAAAAAAAAATTATCAAAAAATTCTACCGAAAGGGACCTATGAAAGGAAGTTCGAACGGGGCTTTTCTTGGGGTTGAGGGGGGCAACTGCACCCACTGCCCCCGTAGTGGATACGCTCATACACCAAAGTGTGTAAGGGTGAAAAATAAGACTACTCATGAGCTACTCACTCAACATTACACTTGCCCTTGATCACATTCAAACCCGAACTAAGCTTGAGCTTTATCATACTTCGCTCATGTGACACTCCAAAAAAAAAATTGAAATAAACTTTAATAGCCAGAAAAAAAAATTACGAAAGTGACGTTTTAATAATTAAGTAAATCAGATGAAATTTTAACATTTGTTGACATTTTTAGTTAGAAAAAAAATGTTTCAATAATAAAAATGACATTTTTATAATAATTACGTTGAGCAGATAGGAGCCAGTCCTTGATTCAAATAGCAAAAGTGACATTTTTGTAACAATAATTGAGATACAATTCCTCCATATAATAATTGAGATATAATTCAAATCCACTACTACTATGTATCAACTCAGCCATATACTCACAAATTAAAGACATGATACATCAACTCAGTAATATACATACAAAGATGTATAAATCTGCCGGCCATATTAATTAATATTTGCATAGTACAATAATGAGATATCAAACCAATGGCTACCATATGGATCCACATGCTCATGTCAAAGTTGAGTTGATAGGATGATGCCAAATTTTCATAGCTAGCATTCAAGTTGAACTTTTTCCTACAAGGAGTATATAGAGGACCGAGGGATCGGGGATGAGAAACTCGGCATCAATAATTATACATCATAGTACCATACGTATATATACATACATAAATTGATTCTACATCAAGGAAAACTAATTAAACTAGCTTTTAAACAACCCAATCATAATCATTCAGCCGGAGTAGGGGAGGGTTCAGATGTGGTCGTTAGAAGGAAAAGAAGGGTGCCGTGGGGCTGTGGCTTCGCCGCCGGAATTGGGAGAACTACTGGACGGGATCATGTTGACCAAACCTCGCTGCATCGACGGAGGGTCAACGAACCACCTGGTGTTTGGAAAACTGCTGCTGGAAGTGAACGGAATCCGCCAGACGTCGGAGAAGATTACAACGACGCCGGAAAAGGGGAGGATTCACCAGGACGCTGCTGCCTACCGCCGAAGCCGCTGCAAGGGTTGCCGGTGGAAAGAAGCTACTGTACCGTCGCCGTTACCTGCGGCAGTGAAGAATACGTATGTATAGTACACTATACTACTGCTGTTCTACTACGCATGCATATCTTGATTCTTAAATTGGACTATGAGTATTATGATATACTACGTAATTAAGTTAGATTAATTGTTAGGATCAACTTTAGTAAATTTTTAAGAGAGATTTACCTAAATAGGACTAAAAGAAGGTAGAATTGCAAAAATAAGACTACTATGTTTTATTTAACAAAAATAGGACTAAAAAGAGGTAATCCGACAAAACTACCCTTAATGAAATAAAACTAACTCTCCCAGGCTCTCCCAGGCGTGCGCTCTTGAGAAGACTCTAGCCCCGTTGAATTCTTCGGCCAAGCTTTGCTCCCATCTTAATCTTGGTCTATGAAGCTTCTTTACTGCCATCCAAAAAATGTCTGCTCAAGAATTTGTCACCATTAGATGCAGTCATGCAGGAGGAAGTAGCTCCCTATTTCAAATAGCACTTCATTATTCTTCACTTCTTCCTCCTCTTCTTCTCCTTCTCCTTCTTCTCATCTTCTTCAATGTCCTCTGTTTTCTTCTTCTTTGATTTTGAATCTTATTTATTGATTTTGATTAATCTTGAATTTAGGAATGAAATGAAAATAATAATACTTAGAAAAAATGTCACTTTTATGGCATTGCACCTATTAAGATGACAATATCATTTTGAAACTATAAAACTCTAGAATGTCATATTTTTATCCGTTTCACAAAACAATGTCAGTTTTATGCAACTAACTTTATAAAGATGACATTTTCTTACTGAACTTTAACTTTTACATGTTAATGGCATTTTCTTACTAACTTTATGCCACTTGATATGAATAATGACATGTTAATGACATTTTCTTATTTACATGTGACATTCTCAAATTGCTATTCTCATACAATGTACTATCACAAACGTGACATTTTTTCAAATAACCAATACTTTTGACATTCTCAGATTATGAAAGTGGCTTTTTTCTGAAAAAATAAAATTCAAATCCAAAACAATCCAAATCAATACATAATATCCAAAAACTTATTTAGAATTTAAAAAGGTAGTAGATGAATAGAAGAAAAAAAAACAGAAAACAGAGTGCATGAGGGGGGAGAAGTGCACCAGGGGAAGAGGAAGAAAGAAGAAAGAAAAAGAATAGGAGGATGAGGAAATCACCTACAATTGACGGCGAAGGTGCAAGGCCATAGTCGGTAATGGAGCTGCAGTCCATGGGAGGAAAGGATTTGCGCATGTGTGAAGCGGTTGCCTGCTGCGATGAATTTTTGCAGCCGATCGAGTGAAAACCGATGAAGTGCAGATGGATGTGAAGGGTAGAATGGTAATCGGCGGTCCTATTTAGGAAATTTAAAACATGCAGTCCTATTATGGAATTTTGAGTATGTTTTAGTCCTATTAAGATCAATTTCTTAATTTTTAATTAAGAAAACTAAACTGTACACGACGGGCTAATGGATTAAATATATATATTTTAATAGGACGGTTAATGAAATAGATAAAATTAATGGACAAATAATTATAAACGAGTTTGAAAATGAAACGGATTAATTTACAGAATAGATTAAATTAAAATAGAAAGGACTATTGTGGACTAATAAACAAACAGATTAAAGATTATTTAACTAATTGATTTAGCCGAGTAGGGAGAATTGTGAGATAAAGATATATGAAAATGGAACTGGAAAGGGGCTAGTAAAGGATTAGAATAATTATTGATGGTAGAATTTTAATATTCTAGAAGGTGATTTCGAAGATCAAGTTAAACGCTTCAAATAGGATTTACCAGGACTGATCAGGTAAGTTTCTCTGCCGATCCAAAATGATTTCCTCGTATTATATGCTTATTATGCATTTTGTGATAAAGAGTGAATTTTGAATTATGTGTATGTGATTTTGAGGAGATATTAGATTTATGGTATTTTTGAAGTGCAAACGAAGTTCTTTTGGGTATTAAATATTTTTAGATACTTTTGAGACTATTTAGAGAGATTGAGAAATATTTTTGAAGTATACTTAATTCAAGATAAAATTAAGGATTTCATAAGAGGTGAGCACCCGGGAGAGATCCGTGGTGTCGGTTTTCCACATCCGGATAAATGTGGAGGGTGATTAAGGCTGCTACTACTAAGAAGTACAGTTTGAGTTTGAAGTGACATTTGGATCTATGATCCCTTTTAAGAAGAAGTTATAGTAGTAGTAGTCCCTAATCATCCAAGAATTTTAAAGGTGGGGTAGTTGGTAGACTGAGTCCCGATTACTCGTGACGACTTACTACTCGGAGGGCTTGGAATCCCTTTTAGGGGGTGTGCACACTTAAGGTAGTCGTTTCGTTTCCATTAGCAGTTGTGGTACCGGCAAAAGTCCCGGGGTGGCCGTACATAACAACGTAACCACCGGGCTCAACCAGAGTGTTGAGCACCGCCCTTCTAAATTACTAGGAAGATAGAGAAGAAGTGAATTTTGAGAAATTATAAGAGAAGAGTTACTATAGTATTTTCAAAGAAAAGTTGAGGACTTTATTAAAGAAGTGATTTTGAGTAATATCAAAGAGAAAAGAATTTTGGTGGAGTGTGTCATTTTTATATAGTATTATATGAAAAACTATTTTTCGCCAAACCTGATTATTTTACGGGGTTGGGTAGTACTTACTTAGCTCTAAAGCTAATTTTTGTTTTCTTTCCTTTGTTTTGTCTTCTGCACTTTATTTGTGCAGGTGATGATGCTTATGTTGACTGATGATTGCTTGATTCCCGAGAGCGGTTTAGAGATGCCTTAGTCAAACCTAGTCAAGAATTATAATTTAATTATGTTGAACACTTGTTTTACTTTGTTCAGTTTTGTGATTGCCTGTGCATTCGGTTAAGAGATGACCGGATGTGGCGGTAACACCCATTTCCCAATTAGTGTTATTTCCGCTGCAAAACTTTTTATCTGTTTTGAAAGAATAAATCAAGTTTATTATCAATAAATCTATTATTTCAAGTATTATTTTGGGAGGGAAAATGGGGGTGTTACAGCTCAACACTCGCAAGACATTGTATATAAAATAATGACTGGTATATGACTAAAATAAGAATAATGGACAAAATCGTATCTTTTTATACATAGTGACTAAAATAGTCACTGTTTGTGGGTAGGACTAGGCATAATCTAGTCCGAACCGGAAAATTGGACCGAACCGAACTGGTCAATCCAGACCGGATCCGTACCAAATATATTCCAGGCCGGTTTTCGGTTCAAGGGTTTTACTAATTCCGATTCCTGTCCGGTCCAAAACCTGGAATATTCTAGTATGGAGTCTGGACCGGTTAGACCGGAATTAAATTATTATATACGTAGTATATAAATATAAACACACGCACACACTTTTATACACATTTATATACCACAATTTATTAAATTTATACACACAAACACATAGTACATTAATTAATTTACTTAAAAAGTACATTAATTAAGTGTTACAATACCATACACATTAACTGAAGTTACATACCCTTGACATTATTTACATATTTACACTAGTAAAATTTTGTAGCATAAAAGCATCAAGAGTTAGAATGATGCATTGTATTTACTTATTTTTACTTGTTTTAACCATAATACATAGTGTGATTAATTGAATTCTTCTTTGTTAAATACGCAAAGATATTGAGTCAAATCATTCACTAAATTAATCGAATATTGAACATTAATTTCCCATACTAATATGGTCATGCACAAAATTTATGGAGTCAAAATTGAACATTACTAAATTCGTGTGTTTATTTCTACTTATTTGATGTATTATAATGTATATTATACTGATTAAAAGAGACATAAATGCAAATCATACATATAAAAGAATAAATTAGAAATAATCACATACTAGAAATAATCACATACTAGAGAAAACGAGCTAATAAGTAAATTTTTGGATAATCAAAACTATTTTTTTAAAAGAAAAAAATTGCAAAATTAGTGAAATTAAAAAACCAGTCCAATACCGGTCCGGACCGCGAAAACCAGAAAAATCCAATCCAGTCTTGGACCCGAATTATATAGGTCTGGTCTTCGGTCCACGTTTTTTTAAAATTCCGGTTCCAGTCCGATCCGGTCCAACGTGGACCTGTGCTCATCCCTATTTGTGGGTGTGATTATATTTAATTCTAGACAGCAATAACCATGAAGGTATACTCATAGTAAATTACGTTACATTTTTATCCATAATTTTATTTCAATAGTATTTTAGGAAAGCCCTCATCTAACATTCTATCAAATATTTATCTACACTTCGACAGGTTTTGCATGCAAGGAGATGAGAGTATGAGACACTAATGTAATGCGAGGATTGTTGAAACTATGAAGGAAGAATGTTTTCAAAGAACTGGCGCATGTCTCCATTCATTGCATCAAAGGCTAACAACTTCTCCACTGCGTCCTGCATTTGACTGCATATAAGTTTGGTTCCAAGTTTCATAGGATAAATTGATTGGTCATAAAATACTTCATATATTGACCTTATAATGCTGGTCACGAACCAATACATTCTCACTTTGCAGCCGCTCAATATGCCGGTCATTTTTCAGAGCATCCAAAATAGCCACTGCTCGCTTAACAACTTCTTGGGGTATTCCTGATTTTATTTAAAACATTGAAGTAACTTACTGGAGGATTAAAGTAATGTACTGGAGGATGTAAACGTATTCCTGCTACATAGAAATTTAAACTTGAACTGTAGATTCTAAACTGTCGCCTATTGTTGATGCACATAATTTAGGCATTGCGGTATATTCCAAGTCAAAGTTCGAGGCTAGTGCAATTATGCAAAAGGTATTAGATGAATGTAAAACAAACAAAAAAATGTTTATAATAATTAGTAGGGAAAAATAATTAAAATACCTCAAATTTTGAAGGGGTGGGAGATAAACACCCCAAATGCATGTAATTTAAAAATAATTAGAACACCCCTTCAATGTTTGGGGTATTTTAATTATTTTTCCCTAATTAGAACTATAGTTGTTGACTTGTTACCTTGGTTCGGCGAGTACCTTGTTTTACATGCATTTTAATGTAGTGCTGTAATCTTTAAAAAAAAATGCTCTAGATGCTTGACTAGTTGCCAGAACAACTTTTGGACAGAAAAGACTAAAATTGAGGTGCCATGCTGCCACCTAGGCTGATTGCTAGAACAGATCTATTGGTGAAGCTACATAATTTTACAATTGGTGGTATATTCTAAGTCAGGATACAAGGGTAGAGCAGGGATAAAGCAAAACATATCTGGCCTGGGGGGAGAATGCATGGGAGTGGGAAGGTATGAAGGGCTTCTAGACCCAAAGCACAAGGCTATTGTATCTGGGAAGGGATACTACGTATCATGGAATATAAAGTAGGGGACCATGTAAGATAGAGTTAATGAGGTCGGGAGACATCGGATAGTCGTCTCTACAGGCCTTGTTCCAATCTGACAACTCCCAAGAGACAAGCAATGTGCTTGGCCAATAAGCCAGGCACAAAAACTCGAGTCATATATAGCTATACTTGGTCCAACCCCTATATTGATTAGTATTCTATTTTATAATTCACTAATATGAATATCTTATATACATCGTGAAATGTTTCATTATATGACTTCAATATCTCATGAATATTGGGTACTATGATTGCTTGTTAGGAATAGTGTATGAAAACTTTACTCAAGCGGGTGCAAGTGTTCGAAGGAGAGTAGAGTACCTGCAAGCAGTGCACAGTGTAATCCTGCATGAAATTGAAATTTTATTAGTCATAATAAGACATCTAGGTACAATCAAGTTTTAATGCTCGAAATGTTTTGACACGTACCAAAGCTAAGAAGTGCACGGCCTGGAATCAGCCTACAGATATTGCGTAGAAGGGTCATTTTCATGCATAGATGGTCTTGCCAAGATCATACAAGACAAATGAAGCATTGTATGCCCAACTAATTGTAGTATGTAGCATTAACTAGTCGTGTTAGTGTAGGCCATAATGGTCAAAATTATAATACCTGTACAAGAATACAACATCTTCAAGATCACCAGAACCTTTTTCTGGACTTAACACACTCATGGTGTAATATTTGATCCTTTTGGACTGAAATTTAAAAGACGGGAAAAGGCCTGAGATGTAGTTACGACCAAGAAGCTGAAATCCATGCAGTAAGTTGTAGCATGATCCTACATTCCTACCTCCAATAAGCATCCACTATCGAATACTTCTGTCAAATGAGTACAGACAAGAACCTGCAATTAATTTGAGGCTTCTGATTAAGATTCTTTTTGGCGATGACTTGAATTTGGCAGGCAAGATGAAGATGAAGAAGTTGGAATGTGAAAAAAATGATAGAGGAATAGCAGACCTTTGGAGGATCATAACAGGATACAAAATGATTTATAACTCCACCAAGGACACCAATGCCATCTGACATGAGAAACAAAGCATGTGATAGATATGTGTACCAGTAGAAAACTATGAGCATTACTCCCCTTTTCCAGGTTGTTGACATGCTCCAGTCAAATCGTTAATATTTGCAGATAGAAATATATTTTTCTTACAAAACTGAAGGAGCTATAATACAGTAAATGTAACCTAACAAAGCACGCACATAAGTCAAATCGTTAATAGTGTTACTGAAACTAACCTTCAGCGAGGGTGCCCTTTCCAAATTCATCCAATAAGCACAAGGAATGAGGGGTTGCATGCCTAGTGATGTTCACGTATACGAATAATATGAAGTAGGAACGAGTAATCAAGGAGAAAACCGTTAGACGGGCTGCTATGTACACATAAATTATGTTTATGTGTACAATATGTCAATTATTTTTAGGGAAATAGCTTTTTTAGGGAAAATAGCTTTAGATAATACTCCCTCCATATTTAAAAGTTCACTACAATAGGTTTGGGCACACTGTTTAAGAAAAGTTCACTAGCAACCCTTAGACTAAAAATAATAAGTACGCACAGTCAGATACCTTAACATTATTCCCACTTGATGCAGATCAATCATAAACGTTGACTGTTCAGCAGTCATAAACTTGCTTCCCGTTGCACAAAATATCCTGTCATTTTCAGTTTGCTACATGTCAGTGTAACTTGATAAGAGAGACTGCAGAGTGTGTGTCTATGTATGTAGATTGAGGAAGCGGTCCAACCCAGTTAGTTGCCGACTCACTCTCCCTTATGGGGGGTCTTGGGTTCGAAACTCAATGGAATGAGTTTCAACCCTGATTACTTCAAGCCCCCCATCCCCCTCTCCCAGGCGCCCCCTGGAGTAAAATATATATATAGACACACACACACACAACCTCAGTTCTTAGCTAATTGCAACAATTTGACTTCTGCACTATTAAGTTATTATACTTAGACTACATTTTTATTTTATTAATGTGTCAAAAAATCACACTGAATAATATTGGTACCCTTGTCTCGATGTAAACTTTCATATATGAAATTTCATAATATTTACTGTTGACGATTTCAATATACTAATGGTCAAAATCATGTGTTGCCAAACGTAAAGTTCAAATGTGATGCAACTAAATAAGAGACATAGGAAGTGCATGTGTAACCAATGAGAAGAATGTGATCTAATGAAAAAAATGAAAATGAATCCATTGTGTTAGATTTGAGAGCTGTGCATTATTTGTAACAGAAATAATGTGCACCGCCAAGAACTAGAGAACGCAATGTGCCCGACGTGAACCAGAATGTACACCATTTTTAATCATTTTCATTTCTCATGGGACAACCTTTTTACACGAACCACACTATATATATAGAGAGTAATCTTCCCGTCAGGAATTTCCTGACCGGAGCGCCGTCCGGTTCCCGGTAGTATTTTTGGGGCGGTTCTCGGTGGTATTTTTTGCCGAATTTGTTTTGTATATTCTTCCTCAAGTCTAGTTTATCCATACCAAATTTCAACTAAAAATTCAATCGGGAAGGCAGTCAAATGATTTTTGGAAGTTAACTGTGCCCTTTTTATATATATATAAAACGCAGTTAACTTCCAAAAATCATTTAACTGTCTTTCCGATTGAATTTTTAGCTGAAATTTGGTATGGATAAACTAGACTTGAGGAAGAATATACAAAACAAATTCGGCAAAAAATACCACCGAGAACTGCCCCAAACGGCGAAGGCCGGACGGGGCTCCTGTCCGGACCGGCCGGACAGGAATAATGATCACGTGAGAAGTGTGTCTTAGACTGAGAACTGCGAAGTTTAACTAATAGAGACAATAAGGTAACTTATATAACAGAAATCATAACTTATAAATCCAACAACTCTAAATCAAAAGTACAATTTTATAGTGATAAATTGAGGAAGTATGAGATTACAATGAAAAACACTAGTAGTAGTTGAAAAATATTTACAGAAAAATATTTATCAAAAAGATACTACCTACGTCCTCCTAAGTTTGGAACAAAGGGGTGTGGTGTGATTTTTAAGAAAAGTAGAATTATGTGGTTGGTATTAAATTTATAAAGTTTGAATAAAGTAAGAATGTATTGAAACCACAAAATCATTACCAAATATGATATGTGACAAACTTAATGGGACGGACAAAAAAGGTAAAACGGGGCAAACTTAGGGGGACGGAGTGAGTAATTATTTATTTACCAAGACATATAATCCCTCCGTCCCATTGGACTTTGCCAACTTTCCCTTTTTGGTTGTCCCAAAAAACTTTGTCACTTTCCTATTAAAACAACTAATTTGTGATTCTGCACATTTCTCTCTCCTCTGCACAAATTTCAACCACACAACTTTTACTATTCTTATTTCTCACCTACTTTGCACTTGGCAAAGTCCACCGGGAGGAGGTAGTATGTCCTAATAAACTATTAAAACGTTAAACATAACTTATAAAGCCAAATGTTTAACTTTTACAACTTTTTAAATTACTTCGCATTTCTCAGTCTAAGAACACTTCTCACTCGATCCGCTCCCTATATATGTGTGTGTGTATATATATATATGTAGAGAGAGAGATAAATGATCCTGTCCAGCACTCCCCACCGCCCGAACGCCATCTGAACACTGCCGTTTGGGGCGGTTCCCCGGTGAAATTTTTTGATGAAATTTTTGAGCATATTCCTCATCAAGTCTAGTTTATCCACAATATAAAAACGCTGTTAACTTCAAAAACTGATTTGATATGTCTTCCCGATCGAATTTTGTGCTGAAATTTTTTTAGGATAAAAAATACTTGATGAGGACATGCTCAAAAAAAATTCATCAAAAAAAAATTCACTGGGAACCGCTCCAAAAAGCAGTGTTTCGGACGGTGTTTGGACGGGGGGAGTGCTGGACAGGATCATTTCTCTCTCTCTCTCTCTCTCTCTCTCTCTCTCTATATATATATAGTATATATATATATAGGAGAAGTTCTAATGAGAACCATGATTGACGTGAGAAACATGCACTTTTAACACAATTTGGTGCACTATGAGGCACCTATTACACTTTTTTAACTTTGGTCAAAACATGTCAATATCAAATGTCAATATCAAATGTCAAAACATGTCAATATCAAATGTCAAAACTATGAGTCCAACCGGGACGGAGGTAGTATGTCCTAATAAACTATTAAAACGTTAAACATAACTTATAAAGCCAAATGTTTAACTTTTACAACTTTTTAAATTACTTCGCATTTCTCAGTCTAAGAACACTTCTCACTCGATCCGCTCCCTATATATGTGTGTGTGTATATATATATATGTAGAGAGAGAGATAAATGATCCTGTCCAGCACTCCCCCGCCCGAACGCCATCTGAACACTGCCGTTTGGGGCGGTTCCCGGTGAAATTTTTTGATGAAATTTTTTGAGCATATTCCTCATCAAGTCTAGTTTATCCACAATATAAAAACGCTGTTAACTTCAAAAACTGATTTGAATGTCTTCCCGATCGAATTTTGTGCTGAAATTTTTTTAGGATAAAAAATACTTGATGAGGAACATGCTCAAAAAAATTCATCAAAAAAAATTCACTGGGAACCGCTCCAAAAAGCAGTGTTCGGACGGTGTTTGGACGGGGGAGTGCTGGACAGGATCATTTCTCTCTCTCTCTCTCTCTCTCTCTCTCTCTCTCTCTCTCTCTCTTCTATATATATATATATATATAAATATATATATAGGGAGAAGTTCTATTGAGAACCATGATTGACGTGAGAACCATGCACTTTTAAACACAATTTGGTGCACTATGAGGCACCTATTACACTTTTTAAACTTTGGTCAAAACATGTCAATATCAAATATATATGGTGCACTATGAGGATCATTTCTCTCCTCTCACTCTCTCTCTCTCTCTATATATATTATATATATGGAGAAGTTCTAATGAGAACCATGATTGACGTGAGAACCATGCACTTTTAACACAATTTGGTGCACTATGAGGCACCTATTACACTTTTTAAACTTTGGTCAAAACATGTCAATATCAAATAAATGTGGTGGCAGGTTTATAAATATTCGTCAAAATGAAAATGTGCAACATATACATGCTAAAGTGCATCACATTTGCTTAAAACTGGATTTCTCACGTTAAACATGGTTCTCATTTGAGACTAAATCTATATATATATATATATATATATATATATATATATATATATATATATATATATATATTATAGATAGAGAGAGAGGGGGGGGATCAGGTGAGAAGTGGCCCTTAAAATGAGAAGTAAGTAATTTTAGCCCTTGGATTTGCATCTGATCTTACAATGCAGTAAACTTATAGACTAAATATAGGAACTTATAACCAATAAATCATAACTTATAAAGCTCTTCATAATAATTACGAAAATGCCACCGCGTAAAAAAAATTCCAGGTTTCCGTAATTATATTTTTGCGGTGGCATTTTCGTAATTATTTTTGAGGGGTCTATAAGTTATGATTTATTGGTCAAAAGTTCCTATATTTAGTCTATAAGTTTAACTTCACAATTCTCAACCTGAGAGCACTTCTCACCTGATCCGCTCCCTATATTTCAACTCAAAATAGGTAAGTCAGTTAACTAAATTATTGACAAAAACTGGATGTTATATGTATAAAAAACTGCCCAATTTTAAAAAATTATTTAAATGCCTTCTTGATTAAATTTTAATCTGGAATTTGGTAGATATTATATACACTTCAGGGAGAACATTCTCACAAAATTTCATCAAAAAATTCATCCCAGAAGCCCCTCAACCGAAAGAGGCCTAAAATTTTAACTTTTAGTCCTACCTTACATGAATATTTTCCTATATAAATATATATATATATACACATATATATAGGGAGCGGATCAGGTGAGAAGTGCTCTTAGGCTGAGAACTGCGAAGTTAAACTTATAGACTAAATATAGAAACTTTTAACCAATAAATCATAACTTATAGACCCCTCGAAAATAATTACGAAAATGCCACCACAAAAAAATTACGGAAACCTGGAAAAAAATTTGACGCAGTGGCATTTTTGTAATTATTATGGAGAGCTTTATAAGTTATGATTTATTGGTTATAAGTTCCTATATTTAGTCTATAAGTTTACTGCATTGTAAGATCAGATGCAAATCCAAGGGCTGAGATTACTTCTCACTTCTCATTTTAAGAGGCACTTCTCACCTGATCTTTTATATATATATATAGGAATGATCATGTCCAACCGGAAGGACAGGATTCTCCGTCCGGCCACCGCCGTTTGGGGCGGTTCCCGATGGACTTTTTTGATGAAATTTTTAGGGAATGTTTCTCATCAAGTCTAGTTTATCGACAAAAAAAATTTACCTAAAAATTCAATCGGGAAGACAGTCAAATAATTTTTGGAAGATAATTGAGCCAAATTAAACATACTCCCTTCGTCCAAATATAAATGGCACATATTTCTTTTTGGGTCGTCCCAATATAAAAGGCACATTTCTCTTTTTGGCAAACAAAACAGTGCAAAACAGTGTCCGAACAGTGCCAAACAGTGTTCCTCCTAAAAATGTTTGAAAAAGCAAATGTGCTCTTTATATTGGGACGGAGGGAGTATAAAATGAAGTTATTTTCAAAAATTTATTTGATTGTCTTCCCGATCGATTTTTTAGCTAAAATTTTTTGTGAATAAACTAGACTTGGTGAGAAACATTCCCTAAAAAATTCATCAAAAAAGTCAACCGGAAATCGCCCCAAACGGCGGAGGCCGGACGGAGGATCCTGTCCCTCCGGCTGGACAAGATCTTTTTCGTAAACGTGTGTGTGTGTGTGTATAAACAGGGTGCGGTTCCGATGAGAACACTCCTTAACATGAGAAATGAGAATGCTCCAAAATGATGCAAATGCACTTTATTGTTCATGAAAATGCACATATAGAGTTAAAGTAATGCAAAATTCAAATGTGCACATTTACGTTTAAACTTTTGCACAGTTAAAATGCACATTTTTCAATTTTTTATATGAACATTTATGTTTTACATGATGCACAATACCCAAATTCAACGCTCCAGAATCATTCTCATTTGTCTCCTAAGATGTATTCGATGTATTCTCATATGATCCTTACTCTATAAACACATATCTATATCCAAAGTTCTTCACGAACCAAAATGTACACCTTTTTTTAATTATTCTCATTTCTCAAATTTATTTATTTTTATTTCGCAATTAAAACAATCAATTGGTACTTAGAGGAGCAGTTGGCTATTAGGTTTGAAAATATGCACGCACGATATATAATAATTTAAATGATCAATAAACATTGGGAAAATAAATCAGTACCTGTCAGTTAGACCCACTGTGGCTGCCTCAGCTGGTACAAAACTTCCAATGTGGGAAAGAAAGACTATTAAAGCGACCTAACAAGTTTTTTAACACATTAGAATATCAATTACACATGAATACAACCTACGAAGGATAAAGACAGAGACACAACTCACCTGCTTTACATAGATACTTTTACCAGAATAGTTAGGCCCTGTTATGATATTAACCCTTCCTGAAAATTGTATAACCAACAGGATGACAAGTAATGTGTACTGGAATGCATGATTATAATGGATAAATCTCAAACTAGGATGATATCTGTACCACCTTCATCTGAAATCTTTGTATCATTGGGAATGAATGTATCAACTGTCATTTCCTGCAAAAGATGTCTGAAAAAATGCTTTCTTATGGCATCTTATATGTGTCTCAAATGGTCCAAACTTATTTGAAACTGCTGCTACAGTACAAAAAGAAAATGCATTACAAATCCAATTGAACAAGCCTCACCTTCCGTTATGTATATCAAGAAAATTTTGTGCAGTCAAGGTCGGCCTTTTATAATTGTTTTGACGAGCAACCAGTGCTAATGATAAGAGGCTAGAGAAAATACAATACAATGTCAGAACAATAAATGAAAGAAAACTTGTTCTTTCACTCAGAAAATCAGAAGTACATACAACTATTGAATGTCTCACCAATCAAGCTCAGCTGCAAAATTAACAGCATTGTGGATGGGAACTACAAATTGCAGGACATGTGATACTATGTCCCTTGTAATTGCTCTCTCCATATCTAAATACAAGTGTGAAAATAGATGGTAGGGAACAATAATAAGGTTGTTTGAATATTACAAATTATTCTATGTCAAATTTGAACTGATACAAGAGTACAAAGTTTTGCTCTTTTGGTGAGAAATCAAGATTTCAAGTTGTTATTCAACAAATAGCCATAAATCTAAAGCCAATCGAGATAATCATTTGGAAAATTTAATCAGTGCCAAGGTATCCACTAATGCATACCCAGGATTTTATGGTATATATCTCCAAGAAGGGTATCCAACTCTCGTGTTTTTGAGGTGCGGTAAAAGAACTTCTTGTTATCTCCATCCTCATCGAAAAACTACGTAATTAACCAACAGCATTGACAAATAAGAATGTTCTATAAATAACAGCAGAGTAAGAAAATAGTAATACTGGATAGTGGCATACGGAAAACTCAAAATCAGGAGGTTTCTCTTGCATCTCTTCATCAAGTTTTTTATTGAAAATACAGAATAAGAAACCTGCAAGTGAGCCAAAGCATTTCTATAGTTATCAAGGTCGTGTACTAATCACAAAGAAAAAAGGTTCATTGAAGTACAAATTTGTTTCCAAACACAGCAGCAGCAGATGTGTAAAAAATTGTAGTGAAGTTAAACAAACATATTGTATATTTAACTCAGCCCAACATGATGGAACACAGCACAACATTGTCACAAGACTGTAGACCTTGTACATAATGCAATTTTCATTTCTTCCCAGAAGTTTGCTTTGGGGATTGATAGAAATGCAGTGGTTATTACTTTATTCATGCAAATATGTATGTGGCCCAAGACAACCTTTCCAGTACTAATGATGACATGTAAATAATCTGTTTCCTCAAGATATAATTAATTCCTTTTATCCAACTATACGGGTAGGCATTACTTATATTTCCTTTGTCAGAAAATAAGCGGCATCATATTCAGCTATACAGAAATCCCAAATCCCATGTTGGACTTACCAGCTATGCAAACACACAGGAGACAAAAGCAAACTGATCATTTGGTAGTACAAATACCTATTTGATGCATATAGACAATACAAGGGACACCCTTATCTCCCATCATGTGAGGGAGTCTTGCACGTTCTATTGACGAAACCTGTGATATACTCTTTATCAAATCATGTGAGGGAGTCAAACAGATTAGCTGCAAATAAAAAGGCAAGTACCTCATCCAGAAAGTCAGGCAATCCTTCGTATATTTGCCTCAGCTCATCCAACTGTCAACACTTAACAGAGTAAACCAAATGAATAAGACAAGGCAACTAATAAGCATAGTCAACAGAGTTCCACCTCATCACAGAAACCGTCTTTCACAATCGTCTCATAACCCTTCTCTTTACTTCTATTTACATCAAGAACACCAACTACCTACACGATTTCAACAGAAAAACACAGACGTAGTTACGAACTAGTCATCCATATATCATAACTTTCATGTATGAGGAAAAACAAAGCTAGCGATAAATGGCAAGAGCTATAGCATACTTAACAGATTCTTGCCAACTAGATATAAACTCCAAAGGCAAAACTTTGAGATAAGTTCCAATTCAAACTTCTACATTCCAAACCAGTGCTCCTTTAATCTTCTAAACCAATGCTTCTTCATATGTATCCATGTCTAGTTTTAAGTTTCCAGAGTCAAGTTGGTTTCTGTTTCATGTTTAAAGTTATCAAGGTTTAAGTTCATGTTTTTATGTCAACCTTGGATCATATGAATCATGTCCCATCTTAAGAGGGAGTACTAAAGTATAGATAGTAGCATGATTCATGTCCTTAGAAACCATAATGACAGTCCAATACGTTCTGACCTTTTATTTCTCTATACATGCATGGTATTAGCCTTTATAAATTGCACCTAGAGATTTATATCAATTAAAAATTCAACATTGTGCACACAGTGAAAGGAAAACTGCTCCAAATTCTGTGAATAACAACATGCATTAACAATATGATGAAAGAAAAATAGCTAACCAGTTCACAAACAAAAGCCAGATCACTTGAAAGGTCCTCGGTAACCTGCAAAAAGCTGGATCTCTAACAAACTAACTAAATAAGGTAAATAAAGGTAGCCCAAGATTTTACTTAAGGTAATACCTTATTAACAATACCTATGTTCAAAGACTTCAACTGATCTCGAAGATCTTCAGAAATGCCCACTTCAAATATTTTGTTGATATGCAAGAGTGAGCAAATACTCTGGATGAAAAATAACATGTCCTTGAAAATGCACTGTGTGGAATGAGAAAAAACAACATGATTTAAGCAGAAAACAATCAACAAAATCATTGATCTACCTTCAGAAAAGCAGCCCAGTCCGTATTCATGCATGTAGAGCTTGAGGAGTTGAATTTCTTCCAGCGGAGAGAGAGAGAGAGAGAGAGAGAGAGAGAGAGAGAGAGATTAATTAAAATATCTATCAAACACAGAAAATTTACTAATAGAGAAGATGATTGTACGTGTAGCAAGAACGATTACAGAACACCAATAGAAGAAATGGTTAGTTATATGTCACATTGTCCCCACAAACACTTTAATGCATATAGTTTGATTTAACATAAGCAAGTGAAGTAAACTTTTACATTGTAAATAAGATAACATAACTGCTCCAATTGACGAGCAAGATAATGAACTATAAGGGCATTACATCAACATCCAAACTGGTTATATGGGATGAAAGCAACTACTATAGGCAAAGGTGCTTGGAAGAATATGTCAAACCTTCAGTATGCGGGGAACATCTTTCACTGACTTCAATGTTTCACGCAAGGAAATTGATAGTTCTTTGGCATACAAGAGAAATGATATCTTCACCCATCTAAGGAAAACTCACACTGAAAAATGAAATGTAGGCAAAAGTAGCAGATTAGTGTGACATTTTAGAAACTGATGGATAATCTTTAAACAATGTTCGGAAAATGCAAAGAACCTTATTTCAACAGTATCTCACAAAAAAGGTTAAGTCAACGTGATCCAGCCTTACAAGTCAATAGGATAGATCCATAGCAAAATTGACACTTTTCAATTAAGCAAAGGATACAGCATCAAGCCGGGCATTTAAAACATCAAGATCCAGTATGGGCCTCAAAAACCAGTTCCTGGTAAAAATAAATATTTTAGGGAGAACATCTAAAGTACACATATATTAGTAAATGCATCAAGCAGTATCAACTTTCAACTTTGTACCTCAAAAGACGTCTGCCTAATGGTGTAACACACTGAAAAAAGTAAATGGAACAATATTTAATGTTATTCTTCATGTAGCAAGCAACAAGAAGAATAAAATGACTGCAAACAAAAATCAGCTTTGTCAACCTTATTCATCATTCCAAAGACAGAGAACCTGAAAGAAAATTTTCTAGTCAGCTAGCGTTTCAATTTCCAAGCAAAAAAATAGCACATCATAGAAACTGAGGTTTACCCCTCTTTTGCTTTGCCAATCCCCATATGGCTAGGATGTTTGTCTATTTGGAATATCTGTAATGCCTCATGGGCAGCTGAATCAAGTTTCAGAAAGTTTTTTCTTTGCATGACAGTCATGGAACACAACTAATAGTTTTGCCAACATCATGGAAAATGTGTAGAACACAAAGAATCACAATTTTTTTCATTGAACATCGTGTAAAAGATACAAAGAAATTTCACCGATGGAGTCAATAGCAATTGATGCATTTCCAAATTCATTTTGTTCATGGGTATCTACTATCCTTTCATCCTCCAGTATGGCGAGAAGCCCTCCACTTGCGCGCACTTGAGCATCACTGCTAATGTCCATCATAGAACTCAGCTACAGTGTCAGAAGGGAGAAAGTGCATTAAGCTCATGTTATGCCAACAGAATCACATGCAAATCAATAATGTCTTGGGCTATTTGTTAAACTTATACCAAATAAAATAAGGACTCCACACGACAACAGAGATGGAAATATCAAAATCGTCCACAAAACTATCTTAGAGAGCAAGTGGGCTGAGTTTCCTGAAGTAGATGAAAACTGTACTGGCGTTGATTTGAAAGGTGTACTGGAGCAGTTGAAAAAAGTAAATGTCACCTCAAGTATTTATAGTTTGTTTCAGTTTTAAGAAAAGTTGCAGTCACACTTAGATATTATATTAGTTCATTAAAGTACTTAGTCAAATGTAAGAACTTATCAACCTGATGATGTAGAACTTTTACATTCACGGATTAGTCAAGTCCATTAAGTAACTAGAACACTATTTCTATGTATGAAGTAGATAATCACTTTACGTCAAATCTACAACATAATAAAAGTCAACGATTTTAATTTTTATTTTTAATTTATTGCAAAAAAACTATCATGTGCGCTATGAAGCACAGCCAGGGTATGAGAAACAGCATTTCTCAAAAACGTAGGACACGGGTACGACTTGGAATTGACACTGTTGTGTACCTATTTGGATAAAAAACCATGGCAATAGGAAGTTATTCTATTATTATTACTATTCATTAGTTGGTTACTAAGATCTAGGGGATTTTAAGTAGTGGGTTGATTAGTAGATGACTAGATGTTAGGTTTTATCATATGTATATATGTTGGTATACTACCTCCACAGTGGGTGCCTTGGGTAGCTACTTTCCGGACACCAGGTGCGGGTAAAGGAAGAGGGTTGCCAGTCTACAGTTGAGATGTTTGTTTAAGGATGTCAAATCAGCGTAAATCAGAAAAGGCAAAAGAGATATCCTTCCATTCCTGAAAAAAGGTTCCCTTTCGTTTTTCATCCGTCCAAAGATAAGTTTCTTCTTTCCTTGTAAGGAAAGAATATTGTGAATCAAATCATTTCTCTCTCTTGCATGAATCTCACCCACACAATTTGACTATCCTTATGAGTGTGCCATGTCAAAGAGGGAACCTTTTATAGGAAAGAGGAAGTACATTTTAGTTTCTACACGAAGTCAAATGTTAATAGGTTACAACAGACAGAACATAAAAAGCCAAATGCAGATGCCTTGTAATTAGCAAGAGCGTAAACACTTCACTAACAAGGGCAATCCTCTCTTTGATATTTAAGCTCCCATCCATCCCTGTGACCTGAAGGTACATCAATCTGACAACAAAAATAGATGAGTAATAATAATAATGATAAAAATAATAATAATAGTAAAGTTCACAATAATAACAATATAAATAATAACAATAATAGCAATAATTAGAAAAACAGCAACAACAACAAGAATGATGATGTTAAAATAGTGATGATATTAATAAAGGAGATATTTTCAAGTAGGGAGCTCTAACAAAAGGTGAGGATTTAATCCATTCTAACATATGACGCACAAGTACAGGATCCCGGTAATATGGAGAAGGCCCTTTTAGTTTACTTACTTGGCAGCTCGAGGTCTTTGCGTGCGCCCCAAAAGTAATTCAATACTAGCACTAATATTGTAGTAGAGCTCGTATCCACAAGGAAATGTATTCTTCTTGTGTGAAATTGTAACAAAGGGGTTTTTAAGTTTGTATGAACTTAATAATATTAAAACACTCAGATGAACAAATTATAAGGTGATAAATCAATGAGATAGAGATTTAGTTTTGCTAATTTCCACTTATTGAAATGCTCGTTGATCACGGTTACTATTTTAACTATCCCTTCTCAAAGACTCGGTCGTGATTTCCAATTCATCTAGAATAGTCATTAATAACGAAAGATGTTCCTTAATAACTCTTACTACTTAGTCTAGTGGCGTAGAAAATTTTGTGAGTGGGGGCAAACTTATACTAGAACTTAGTCACATATTTTACAAATAGCAAATCACATTATTAATATTATTTCCACTATTTGCATAGAGCCAAATACTCACTATTTTTTGGCTTGAGAATATGATGGAATAAAAGCAAAATGACTCACTAAACTGTCTGCGCTTCTTTGTTATGAAGCAGCAGTCAGTTCATGCATTCTTCAAGGCGATTTTCACCTTGGATCATCCAAAAATAGTCTCTCTCTGCTTTGGTACAGGGGTAAGGTTGCGTACACTCGACCCCCCCTTAGCCACCATAGGTGGGAGTCTTTACGACACTGGGTAATGATGATGATGATGATGATGTATAAAAGAGATCAATTTATATTACATGTGTGCTAATATTCAATTGTAGATAATATTTGAGGAAGCGGTCCAGCCCCCCTCTCCCCAACCCCTCGAGGTAAAAAAAACAACAACAAAAAAGATAAATTTGAGAAAATTACCTAAATAGAAGTTAAACATAACAAAATTACATACACCCTACATTTTGGGGGGAATCACTTCTAATCCTATTTTAGAATTTTTCATATGTTTAACTCTTATTTAGAGCAATTTCATGTAAAATTTTAGATATATATAGGATTGGGTTGGGGTTAAGGGGGGCAGTTGCCCCCACTGCCCCCTATTAGAATAGAAGCTAGGTAGAAGATGGAAATGAAATCATCTTAATGAGAGAGAGTTGTAACAGAGTATTTATACAAGTTGTAGTCACAACTATCAGCTAACATAACCGAAGCCTAAAAGAATATAGTTGTAATGTATTACAAAGAAATACACGTGTAGTTTTCATACACTATTCCTAACATTCACCCCTCAAACTGAGGGTGATTGCTTTGGAAAATCAATCACACTCAGTTTGTTTCTGAACTCAAGAAAAGTAGAAGCAGATAGAGGCTTGGTCAGCACATCTGCAACTTGTTGAGGAGCTGGAATGTGAAAAACTTCAAGCTGTTTAAGTTTGACTTTCTCTCGTACAAAGAAGAGATCAATTTCACATTAGATTCTGGAAGTAATAAAAGGAGCTTGAAGTTCTTTGAGTAGAAATTAAACCCATAAGATCTGTGATACCATACTAGAATAGAAGCTAGGTAGAAGATGGAAAAGAAATCATCTTAATGAGAGAGAGTTGTTACAGAGTATTTATACAAGTTGTAGTCACAACTAACTATCAGCTAACATAACCGCAGCCTAACAGAATATGGTTGTACTGTATTACAAAGAAATACACGTGTAGTTTTCATACACTATTCCTAACACCCCCATAGTGGATACGCCATTGATTTAGTCAATATAGAACAAGCGCCTTATATTGACCCGATTGTATCATTTTATCTTTAGATGAAATCAATTGATATTGACAATTTTAACACAAGCGATTTATCAGTTTAATCAATATAATGAATTCCACTTCAGATTATTAACCATGAGAGGCATGCATTAGAAATCTAGAGTTAACACTTACAAAAGGAAAGGCAAATAACATACATATTCGTTGATCAATTCTAGTAATAAATCAATTTGAAAACATTCACTAACTGATCACTTAGCAATGCTCAAATATCAATATGAAATATAATTAGGAAAGTAATTAATTCTCAAAAGGGGGTGATTATAGAAAATAACTCACAATTTACAAATCATAAGCTCCAATATTGCAAAACCAAGATCGGAAAGTTTAGCTCCTCATTGGAGTCCAAACACACTAGTAAAATATGAAAAAACACTTATCTATCAGAGCTTAAGTATGAGGAATAATGGATATCATAACCGGAAGGAAAGAGGTGCTTTTATAGGGAAAATAGGTAGGTTGGGTCGTATATATATCCGGGTATCTAGGATACCCGGACGGGTACCCATGACAGTAGCTATGAAGGTTCATAAATCTTGTCACACCTGATCAGGTATGTCAATATACTCGATCGGGTATAAAACAAAATCCGATTTTCCGGGTATCTGGGTATAGGGAAAATACCTATAAATTCGATTTTATAGGGAAAATAGGTAGGTTGGGTCGTATATATATCCGGGTATCTAGGATACCCGGACGGGTACCCATGACAGTAGCTATGAAGCTTCATAAATCATGTCACACCTGATCAGGTATGTCAATATACTCGATCGGGTATAAAACAAAATCCGATTTTCCCACGTCTTTACACGTCAAATTGTCTTGATCTTATTTGATTTGCGATTCGAATCATACCAGGCCGGGTATTGAGTATACCCGACCTGGTATTGAGTATATCCGACCGGGTATATGATCAAATCAGGAATTTAACACTTTGTCTTGTTCTCTTGTATCTTCCTTGATCTTTCCCATGCTTCTTTATTGTAGATTGATGACCTAAGCTCACAAATCCTAAATTTACGAAATTACACTAAACTAGGAAAATAAAAGGTTGCAAAGTAAATGTGCAATCAACAATAACACACCGTAAAAGCTAATAAAAAGTAAAAACATACAAATGAAAAACCAACACGATCACTACTCAAGTACTCAATTGACATACTAACATACATACATACATAGAGATTTTTGTAGAAAAATGAAGAAAATAAACTCTATTAGCTAGAGCCTGGATGGAAACCACATGATTACAACTACAGGTACATGATCATAGATATCTGCTTGTATAAGTATGTGAGAATAGCAAAAGTAACAGGAATGTGTGCGTAAGTGCACCATTATGGCAATTTCCATTACCTGTGCCATGCTTGCTCATAGCTGAATATTGAACTCTTTACCAGCTTTACAGTGGCAGCCCTACTTGCTTCATCTGTAGCACCTTAAACAAGTAAGTATTGTGTTTGCAAAATATGGAACTTGATTAGCCATCACATATGAAGCAACTTACCACATCTCTGTAAAGCAGACAAGAAAGACTCCTCTGTTTTTGTGCTAGTGTAGATGACTCCAGGTTGCACTTGGTATTTTACTGAAACAAACAGAGACAGAACTGAATTTAAAAATACAGAAAAGACATCAAACATCAAGTGAAATGTTATTTACCAGGATTCTCACATATGGAAATGAACGGATGAAGAAAGGGGCAATGGAATGTTTAATACTTTTCCTTCTCCTTTTGTATTTGGAAATTTTCCTTCACTTTTGTTTCTTGTTAATTATTGATTGCATGCTTACAAGTGAAACTAAGCTCCCATTATATAGTTCGGGACTACAAGCATTTTTCACTTCATAATTTGGAAAGTAGAATAATCAAAGCATCCTACCAAAATTACCAAACCTCTCAAAAGGAAACAAAATCAAAACTCAGACCAACAATAGAATCAAAGATAGTTGGAATCCAAATCCCCGTTGGTAAGTCAATCACCCTCATTTCCGTGGAAATCAACCACACGACCTCCTGCATGTTTTTTCCATGATTTCTAACACGTGACAAACGTGTTGCAAAATCATGCATCAGGATAAGCATGTGGATTATACAATATCAATTTTGGGACATGACTATAGAAATCATCTCAACTTGTCCTGGTCTGGTGATACTTTCCATGCAAATAGAAGAGGCCAATGACAATGACGGTTTTCAAATTGCATCTTGTTGTTCCTGCTTAAGAAAGTTAAACACGAAGCACATCTGACATAAACTTTGTCACTCAGCATTTTTGTGTGAGCTTAGAGTGTTAATCAAATTCATACAATTTGCTGCGGGTATAAGTTTCATGCCACTGATCCTGATCCAGTTGAGAATAAGGTAATAGTGGCTTGGTGCTAATGGTGTTGAATGTTTTAGTACCTAGTGGTTTCATGATGAAAGCCAACAAAACATTGGAGAAAAGCAGCCCTTGTATATTTCAATTTGGTGCATGCAAGCTTTCATGATACATTAAGCATTTACAGTCCTATACAACAACATCCCGGCCTTAGTCCTAAAAAAGTTTGGGGTCGGCTAACATGAATCGACATATGAAATCAGAGTAGAAAAGATTAAAAAAGATAAAATTGGAAGAAGAAGAAGAAGAAAAACATAAAAAGGTAAGATAAGATATAAAAAAAAAGATAAAAAGGATAAAAAGATAATAAAAAAACATAAGATAAAAAAGATCAAAATATTGAATGAGATTAATCATCCACCAGAAAAAAGCATTTACAATCCTATGAGCAGGCAAATTCTAGCGCTTCCAATGAAGTAAGAGTTCATACCCATATCAACCAGGGGAAAGTATTCACTCCCATCTTCCCAAATTTCCATTACATAGAGGTGGCGAATGCTGGAGTCATAATAGGAAACCCCAATTCTGCATGTAAATTCCATTAGATAGGAATTCTTGGTCAGACAATAAAAATCTCTCACAAACAATCATTTGAGTATTTGACTAAGTTGGAAATGGAGGAGAGACAATCTCTTATACTATTATGCTATGTTTCCCTTGAGAAGTTGGAGACACAGTAGAGGTATAATAGTTTATATGGTTGCCTTATCCTTTACCATTTACTAGCAGAATGATATACTCACCTATGACCATTCATCACACATGCCATATAGACCTGCATAACAAGCCACTGGGAAATATTAGTATTGTAGCCAACGCAGATTAAGGAAATTCGGGACATATTTTTTTTAAGAAATAAGAAACTAGAAATTCTTCGAATCTTTTTTAGTTTCATTACACTGTTTATTAATCATCATCATAAATTCATATAGTCCGATAAGCCTGCATAGAGAAAAGCATATTGATATACAACTAAATATGCATACGTATTGTTTTCTGAGTATACGCACCTCAGACTTGTCTTCGTTCTCTGAGAGTTCCTCAGATGGCTCACAAAAATCTTCTGCCATCATGAAATTCAATTTTGAGAAAGTAGCAGCATTATATGTGGATATAGTGCGTCATTTTCGAGGACGAATAAAAAGTACAATATCTTTCTGCCATTAAGTGCATTGAGATAGCACCTTGAGCGGTGGAATCAGCTGAGCTCTCCTTGGCACAATGGAAGGAATTCCGAGCTCCGTAGACTGAAGACGCCTCCATGAAAGAGCTTAGATAATGAGAACAAGACTCCTATTATCCAGTACTAGTAAACTCACCCGTGCGATGCACGGTTTGAGAATTTTTCTTTCAAATTTACGTGTGATTAGTATATCAAATCGCACTATCAATTAATGATAACTTCTACCTTCATGTAATACTGATATATATATATATATATATATATATATATATATATATATATATATATATATATATATATATATATATATATATATATCACAACATTAAACGAAACACACTTACAATATTCTGGTCAAAATGAGAGTAGTAAGCATTACTTAAAAGATAAAAAACATCCAACAAATACATTGAAATCATAACATTGTAAATATGCATTTAATGTAAACCTAAACATTGTTGAACACTAAAATGAATAAAACATTCTGAGTCTTGTCAGTGGTTCCTCCATCTTCATCAACAATTAGTCATATAACTGTCCGTGGGTAAATACCGATTTTTCAACAACAACCCAACACAGGATAAAGATTGACCTTGACTTTTATTTATAGTCATAACATATGAAGTCATAACAGGATATTGTCGCCTATTAAATTTGAAAGGCAAGCTTGCATTGGATGGCGTCAAGGACAATCTAGGAATTAATACTTTTTGTCAAGCACTCACACCAATGAATCCATAGGCTAATTGCGAAAGACAACACTTTGTTGTTCCGGCAAATGAGCTCAAACGTTCAACTGTCGAGGTCTTATATTGAATATCAAACCCAAATATGCGTTGAGCAGCCTCGCACACATAAATGAATCTACAACCATAGTACATTTGTATCTCATTGACTAATCGTCTATTGCATGGTTGGTGATTTCTTTCCTAAAAAATGTACATAACTACACAATAGATATACTATTGAAAGAGTGTGAAAATGTGCAAATGTGTGAAAGTGTGTTATGGCATTATTAAACAATACTCATATATGAATTTGTGAGAAAGGGTTAGTTGAGTCCTGGTTTGTTTGGTTTGGTCTGAGACTGAAATAAGTCTAAGTATAAACATCTCGAGTAATATAGTGGCTATGCATTTATACGAATTGCATTTTTTACACGAATTGCATTTTTTACACGAATTGCCTGGGTAAATTGGCAAATCAGGGGGGTGGGCAGATTTGTGAAAGTGTGTTATGGCATTATTAAACAATACTCATATATGAATTTGTGAAAAAAGTGTTAGTTGAGTCATGGTTAGTTTGGTTTGGTCTGAGAGTGAAATAAGTCTAAGTATAAACATCTCTAGTAATATGGTGAATATGCATTTATACGAATTGCTTTTTTTTTACACAAATTACCCGGGTAATTGGCAAATCAGGGGGGGTGCAAATATGTAAAAGTGTGTTATGGCATTATTAAACGCCATCCAGGAGAAGAGAAGTGAACGCCATCCAAATGGAACCCGTCCTGAGTTTGTTCCTAAATTATGTAATTTGGATTTAATTTGTGAACAATATCATTTGAGGATCTGAAAGATAAATGAATTATCAATTTGTGACCTGGAAGAGGAAAATGTATCAATACATGACCGAATGATGGAAAACTATCAATCAAGAACCCAAATGATTGAAAACTATCAATATAGAACCTAGTTCTCATGAGTCTTTTTGAGAAAAATCTAAGCATTATTTAGTTTTATTAAAGTAATAAGCTTTTGTGAAGAAAAAATCACCAAATATTAGAAATGGAATTAATAAAAAAAATTAAACAAATCAAAATCAATAAAATGTTAGGTCCTAGATTGATATATTGACATCAATAACGTGTGAAATATGTAAGTTCGATACGATACATAAAAATAATACTCCCTGCGTCCCTTAAAACATCGTCATTTTTCCTTTTTGGGACGTCCCTCAACCACAGTTTTTACTGTTAATCAATTGTTTTGTAGTTTCTGTTATTTTTCTCTTCTCTGCACACACCTCAACCACAGTTTTTACTTTATTATTCTACGTGTCCGTCAACTTTGGCAAAGTTTTAAGAGACAGAGGTAGTGTGTAAAAAGACGTTGAAATTCACTCCTCCGTCCTATTGGACTTTGCCAACTTTCCCTTTTTAGTTGTCCCAAAAAACTTTGCCACTTTCCAATTAAAGCGACCAATTTGTGGTTCCGCACATTTTTCTCTCCTCTGCACAAATCTCAACCACACAGTTTTTACTATCCTTATTTCTCACCTACATTGCACTTGGCAAAGTCCACCGGCATGGTGGTAGTATAAATTTTAAAGAGATGCATCGTATGAGTTTAAGAATATGCATATAAGCTAAATAGCACTTTTGCTATCATTGTAAGTAGTTGACTATATTAAAACATAAATTATTCATTTCGTATTATTAGGGATATGATTTAAAGTTAAATGTCCCTAACTATAATCTAAATCTTTAGGGATAGCTGTTTTTAAACAATTAGAAGTAATCCCGTTGTGATCATTTTGGCCATATCTTAACCATGTATCTAAGAGCAGCCCATTAATTGTGAGTGAGAAGCCCATGAAAGACAGCCTTCACATCCAGGCCTGTATGATTAAAGCATACAACCCTTTCTAGAATAGCCTTGCATTCCTTCGACCCAAAGGCCACTCAGCCAGCCTCTGTGAAACCAACCACAACCACATTCTACCATAAGCAAATCCCTCAACTCTTCATTTCTTCCGTTCAATCGGGCAGCCCTGTCTAACCAAGCACACCAATGCTCCACCATAAAGAGTAAAGACAACTTCAACCGACGGCCGGTCAAATCCATTCACGCAGCCGTTACCGCTCTGATTCTTCGCCGAGGTATACTGCCGCTGTCATGAATCTACCTACCGGTTGTAAGCATCCTCCACCACTTCCGCCTCCTCTGCCGCTCTAAGTGTTATAAAAGCGATAAGAACACACTTTCTCTATTACACACGACCATCTCACTAATTAAATCTTTTCTCAAAACCACCAATTAGACTTCTAGACAAATCACGACATTCACTACCTACAGATCTATAAGATCTGTGTTTATTACTACCATATTACCTAAAGTTTTTATTTTATAAACATGATATTTGATTATACATGCAATGATTTCATATACTAAAACATTATATCTGGAAGTTTAATTAGACACACAAATGCGCATTGTATTTTTCTAACAAATCTAAGTGTATGCATTTAAGTATTTAACAAAAAAAGTTAACTTTAATTTTTACATTTTTTTTAAAAAAAGTATATGTATGTCAAATGACAATCCAGCAACTTTTCTTTCTTTTTTGAATCCATTTCCAATATTTTACTTCCGAAAAGTATTACTCCGTACATGTTATGTGTTCGAACCTTAGTATTATTTTTCATTTTTTGTTAAATATAAACATGGAAGGTTGTGTATTTTACACATATGGCTGCAAGTTAAATCTTGTGAAATTAGTATGTTATAAACCATTGTATATTATAAATTAGTTAAATTAGCCATTTGAAATATTTTTTGAAGTTAACTAAGTCTCAATTTTCTTTTGCAGATGCCATTGAAGGTCTTTTCTGCATTGTTTTGATGCTTGGAAAATATATTTGGATGCTTCAAGATAGGTATAACCTGCTTAATGTGACAATACTGGGATGAAATCTGCTTAGTAATTATAATGCAAACTCAGGAATTCAATAAAATCGTTTATGTGCATAGCTAAAATCTGCCTAAACTGTATATATTTTTCGTAAAAAAATACGGAGTAGTATATATTTTAATCTTAAATTATAATCTCTTGAAATGAAATCAAATGTATTTTACTTTTCTCTATGCTCTATATATTGAAGTCTCAGAATAAATTATAGGTGACTTGTACTCCAGGTAACATTTTGATTTTCCTAACAATCATTAACTTTTGTAAAAAGAAACACTCACCAACTTAACAATTATGTTTGAAACAGTGACTGATATATGTCATCTTAAACATATCAAATATGCCTAGTCTGTATTCATAGACTAAATTATTAGTTTTTTTCAGTATTTTTATTTCGATCCTTGTAGAATTAGAAAACAAATAATCTGACCATTCTGGAAAATGAAAACAAAGATTTTTTGGGCATAGCTTTACCGTGCCTAAGTTGTATATTTTTTAATCTTATTATATAATCCCCTAAAATGAAATTAATGAGTTCAAGATAGAAATTTTCTGGTTGGTTTTGCATGTACTGCAAATTATCAATAGGGTGGTAGCCTTGGAGAGACCAATTGTTGCATAGATGCTAGCTTCTTTGTAAAATCAAAGAACTTGGAGTAGGTCCATGTTTTTCTTCTTTTGCTTGTACTTCTAGAGTTGTATGTCCATTTTCTTTTCCCCTTTCAGTAGTGACTTTCTTTTCAGTACAAACACACACACACACATTATTTGCCTTTAAATGTATTCATTACATGGGCTTTGATCCAATACTTGCTGCTGTATTTGTTTACTATGAACAGAACATACCAATCAACCAAAAGAATCAAAGCAAGTTTTTTTCTATTTAAGAATCTTATGCCAGCAAAAGAATTAGACGAAAAAATAGTGGTAAAGACATAATGAATTGAAATGGAGCTAGATATATCTAATGACTTGATTTATTATATATGTGTATATATATATGATTTATATATTTTTAGAACAGAAAGGGAAGAATGAAAAGTAATAAGATGGCAAGAGCAATAAACCCCAACCCAGCACAGCAAGATCTCCTTGCTTTAACTTATATATAAGATGTTCTTGCTTTTTCTATGTTCTTGTACTTCTAAAGCCGGATGCCCATTTGTTGGTCTCCTTTGAGTGTATATATGATAATATTCTTGCATACTGTAGGCTCAAAATTTGAAAGAAAGGGAAGAGCCAAAGATTGGGATGTTCATTTGATATGAAGGTGCCAGTTACTTTTATTCGTTCAACAAAAGGACTTGTTGCAGACACACACCGGGAAGAGCCAACCTGAAGAAGAAAACATGTGTGTCCTGTTAGAAAATAAAATCAAGGTACACGAAAAGAAAACTACTAAATCTGAAAACAAACCTCTAGAATGTTTATTTCAGTGGCGCTCAGGGAATCTTG